TATAAACAGCAATGAAATAATGAAGTGAGCATTTGATGACGTTGAGCCATCTCTCCTGAAGCTACACAGACCCTGGGAGAATGACTTTCTCAAGTTTAGTAAAGAGAAGCCTGTGACTGTTAAAGAAAGAGACACTGGAGTATTTTTAGACTAGTTAGATAGTAGCCATGGATATGTCAAACCTGGAGATAATCTTCTGTTTCAAACGGGGTTTTTAAGTGAAAACATTCAAGTGGATGATTGATTAATAATTTACATATAAATAATATGTAATCATTCTATAAACCACTTTACAAAACACATCTGTGATCTAATAATTTATATATGCCCCACATGATACCAAGACCAAATAAGAATCACATACAATTTTGATTCCTTATATCTAGTTGAATTCTTCCTGTCCAAGGAAGAAAATTTGCAGAGTAAGAAATAACTGAGTAAGCCTTTTCAATGATGCCATGGCTTTGCAAGTGAAGAGAACATGATAGCCTCCACAGAAACAGGCCCGAAAAGAGAAAAAAAAACCATGTTGCCATATAGAATTGGATTAGAAACCAAAAAGGAAGTTGACAGTGTAATCTTCAAAATCTTTTGAGTATGCCCTGTGAGGGGCAAAAGAAGGGTCCTTCTCTCTGCCAGATGATACCCTATAAGCCTTCCAATGGGTATTATACTGTAGGACAGGCAGTGAGGGATCCCAGCAATTTTAAGAGGGGAAGTCACATGTTTAGATTTGTTGTTAAAGCAGCCCATTGCTTCCAAAGCCATGAAGAAACAGACAATCTCATTCTTGGTTAGTAGGAGGTAATATCAGCCTATAGAATCCATAGTGGGGTGATTTACTTATTCCTATAAAATTACAATAGCAAATAAACCTGCACCCAGCAAATCTCGCTTCTGGGAATTAACCCCACAGATATAAGTGCAAAAGCGACAAATGACACTTGCTACATGCTTATCAACTGCAGCATTGATTGTAATAACAAAAGATTGGAAACAATATAAATGTTCATCAGTAAGTATCTGTTAAATAAACTATGATTCATCTACAGTAGAATATCGGGAAGCTGCAAAAAAAGATTATTTTCTATGTCTTGAAATGGAAAGATCTTCAAAAGATAATTTAGTTGTAATTACCTTTTGGGGTAAAATACTGGAAAATAAACTATACTTGCATCAAAATCTCTGGTACAAAAATTGTTACCTAAAGAGGGAGTTAAATGCTTTTCACTGAATATCTTTTTGACAGTGCAATTTTTGAAACATATGGTGTATAGCCTACTCAAAAAATGTTTTAAAAAACTCATTTTGTGGTGCAGCCTCTGTGGAAAATGGTATGACAATTTCTCAAAAACTTAAACATAAACATACCATATGACTCAGCAATTACACTCCTAGAACTATACACCAAAGAAGTGAAAGTCAGAACTCAGAACTTGAACAGATATTTCTACACCCATGTTCATAGCACAATAGCCATAAGGTGAAAGGAATGCAAGTGTCCATCAGCAGATGAATGGATAATGTGGGATATACATACAATGGAATATTAATCAGCTTTAAAAGGAAAGAAATTCTAACAAATGCTATAACATGGATAAACCTTGAAGACATTATGCTAAGTGAAATAAGACAGTCAAAAATAATAAATATTGTGTCATTCCTCTTGTACAAGGTACTTAGAGACAGAAAATATTAATAGAATGGTGCTCGCCAGGGGATGGGGAAAGAGGGAAATGGGGAATTAGCGCTTAGTGGGTACAGAGCTTCAGTTGGGAAAGAAGCAAAAGGTCTGGAGGTGAATGGTGTTGATGGTTGCAAAACAATGTGAATGTATTTAATGCCACAGAACAGTATGCAAACTTAAGAATGGTTAAAATGGGAAATTTTGTTATGTCTATTTCACGACAAGAAAAAAAAATTCGTTTTGTTACCAGATAAAAGATAGATTAAACAATGAACAAGAAATTACCCACAAACAAAACCCCAAATGAATGCACACACAAAGTTTCCAGGACAGGATTTCTTTGTTTTTCTAAAAGCCAGTCAGCCAATTAAGCTGTCCGGTATGACCAATCATTGGTAGATTTGGAAATAAAACGAGCTACCCCCAACGTGGGGGTCGAACCCACGACCCCGAGATTAAGAGTCTTATGCTCTAAGCCGACTGAACTACCCGGGCACCGTTTCAGCGAGTGGGGTGAGCAGAGGGGAGAGAGGCGGTGGTAAATAACGTTTCCTTTAAGATTAGATTCACGCTGGCTTCGGCTCCACCATTGGGGTTGGATGAATTTGGACTGCAATAGAACCAAGAAAGCGCCTTGGCAGCCCGGGAAATTCAAATTCTGCCATTCTTGCCTGACCGTCCCTCCCACGTACGTCCGTTTTTTGCTTGTATCTACCCTACCAGCGATCAAGCCTTTTTCCACCCGGGATGAAGCGCACGGCGCGAAGGAAAAACGTATGCATCCTGACGCTACTAGAGCACTCCACCTGCGGATTTTTACTCAGGAGGGAAAGACAACACGTAGGTATCGTAGGAGGGCGGTAGCTGCAGCGGAACTTTTCCAACCTGCGAAGGCTCTTGCCCCTGAGATTTTCCCTAGCACTCTGCAAATAAACTGGATTTCTAAATTAGAAAGGAGAAAAAATAAAAATGAAAAGTGTAAAAGGTAACTGGAGATGCCGGGGATCGAACCCGGGACCTCATACATGCAAAGCATGCGCTCTACCACTGAGCTACATCCCCGCTTGGGCTTCGTGTTTTCTCGTCACTCTCTTAGTTGATTTTTCTCGCAGGGTGGGGGAGCCAATGGCGTGAGTCCGGCGCAAGATGTGTTGCACGATCCTGCTCCACTGACTCCACACCAGCGAATCTTGACCACTGGGTGCCACCAGGGAGCACTGAGACTGGTGAAAATACCTGGGAGCCGCGGTGGAAAAAGGAGAGAGAATCATCAGGCACAATGCCCAAAATGAACTGTGATCTGAAAAAGGGAAGTAAAAACACTATGTGCAGCACGCAACGTTTTCTTTTTAAAAAGGAGAGGTTGAGGTAGTAAAATATAGAATATTTGAATAAAATAATCTAAAATTGTAAAGTTGATTGCTTGGAAAAGAACTGGACATAGGCTATGGGCCGACTTTTCACTATGAACTACTCATCTTACGAATTTTGAACCACATTTAAATCTGTTCAATCCAAGACAAGTTTCCTGAGCTTACCAAGAACTGCTCTAGAATCTGGAGGTTCAGATGTGAAACAACGGTTAACGGGCGATTTTGAACAGTGTGTGTGGGCAGGCTTCACTGACAACGTGACATTTGAAACAAGAGTTGAAGGAGGTGGGATGTGAGCCATGCAGGTCTGGGAG